CGCTCTGCAGCCACCACCGGTCTCGCCGTGCGGCGAGCCACAGCCTATTGGCGCAGACGTGCCTAACTTGCTCTGCGGCGCGCTGTCGATCATGTTGTGCGGCGAGCTGCAGCCTGTCGGCGCTGACATGCCTATCTTGATCTGCGGTGCTCAAGCGACATGCGCCAAAGGTCTGCTCAACCCTGGCGATGATGCGCATCACGACGCCGTCCATCGCGTTGCCGGGAGCGCCTCGGCCTCGACGGGCCGTGGTGCCTGCTCGTTTTCCTCATCGACGAGGTTGATGGCAGAGGAGGCGCTTTGGTGGGTTGGCATGCTTGGAAAAGGTGGATGTGCTACAGGCTACGCTTGTCGCCTCCGTGCGCCGCGTGCCCCCTATGCGTAATATAGCAAGGTGGCAGGAAACAGGTGAGGAAATGGCAGGAAACAGTGGCGTGTTCATAAAAAGCCATCAATTAATGGAAACTTAGCATCAAGCTAGCACAAGTCGTAGATGATGATCATATGAACACGGACCACACTAGGGAACCCATTGGTGATGAATTCATCAATCCCAAACGATTGAATACTAGCAAGCGTTTTCCCACAACACACACGGCCTATTCCATCACAAATAGGTCGGATGGATGAACTGTATGTCACGTATCGCACATTATCAAAAAGTAATGCGGTAGACCTTCTTTAATTAACATGTGTTAAAAAAATAAAAAACAAGGACCTCCAGCCCGAGCACACTTAACTTGACAGTTTTCTTACATGAGCTACTGGTGGAACAGCTAGTCCTTGCTGATAGGAATGCCTCTTCACATCCTTATGGCGTATCTGGATGACTGCCTGTCCCACAATGGCCAATAGGTGTTGTGTTGACAGAGCATATCACATATGTCTTATTAGAAGCAATCATCTGCGTTATTATCGGTCTTCGCACATATTTCTGATTACAGACCTGTTTGCCGCGTATCACAGACATCTTGTTATATTGAACCGTTTCTGTTCTCTTGCCTAATCACAAACAGTTCATACGAGTGAATCGTATGCTGTATATCGCACACACCTTCATCTGGCCGCCCGTTTCTTTTGTGTTGCCTAATCACAAACAGTTCATCCGAGTGAACCGTATGTTGTGTATCGCACATGCCTTCATCTGGTTGCCCGTTTCTTTTGTTGTTCCTCACCGCAAATAGTTAGTTGAACTGGACCGTATGCCCTTCATCGCACACGCAACTAAAATCTGAACCATGTTTGATGCGTCCTCCATTGCAAATGTTTTACACATTTCTGACAGTTTTCATACAACATCGTTTGCGATTATGGCATCACACACAGTTTCTCGAAGGGTCTCTGATTGTAGTGTCGCGTTAGCAGCATCCTGCAGTAGTGCTGGTTTGTGAGAAGCTTATACCCGAACCTGCCCCAAATAGGACAAATTTTTTACCACGGCATATTGATGTCACTCCATGATAGCATGCCAAGTTTCATGAATTTTATACGAGTTTTGGATTTACTAGTATTTAAAAACTAGGCATATCAACGTTTTGCCGTCAATCAACAGTGCCCTAGTGTTTGAATTTCATTCCCATCTCTTGCATGGGACCTAGAAATTCACCCAAGGACACACATATGATTTTTCAACCAACTTTAGTGCATTGGAGCATGTGCTTGTAGTTCAAATTTGAATTATACACATAAAATGCCTAGAAAACCCAATTAATGTATAAAAAGGTCAAACGAATCCCGAAAAATTCCAAGATTGAACACACCACTCCTGTTGTTCTACGTTGACACTAGAATTTTTTTTGAAAGCAATAAGAGGCAACAGATATCGTCCCGTCACCAAAGGTAGTACGTTCTCTATCGAAACCATCATGCTTGTTGTGAGAAGCTCTGATTTGTGAGAGCTTATACCCGAACCTACCCTAAATGGGACAAATTTTTTACCACGACATGTTGATGCCGCTCCATGATAGCATGCCAAGTTTCATGAATTTCAGACGAGTTTTGGATTTACTAGAATTTAAAAACCAGGCATCTCAACATTTTGCCGGCAGTCAACAGTACCATGGTGTTTGAATTTAATTCCCATCTCTTGCATGGGACCTAGAAATTCACCCAAGGACACACATGTGATTTTTCAACCAACTTTGGTGCATTGGAGCATGTGATTGTAGTTCAAATTTGAATTATGCACATAAAATGCCTAGAAAACCCAATTAATGTATAAAAAAGGCCAAACGAACCTCGAAAATTCTAAGATTGAACACAACACTCTTATTGTTCTATGTTGACACTAGAATTTTTTTGAAAGCAATAAGAGGCAAAGGATATCGTCCCGTCCTCAAAGGTGGTACGTTCCCTATCGAAACAATCATGCTTGTTGGGAGAAGCTCTGGTTTGTGAGAAGCTTATACCCAAACCTGCCTTTAATGGGACAAAATTTTCATCACGACATGTTGATGCCGCTCCATGATAGTATGCCAAGTTTCCTGAATTTCAGACGAGTTTTGGATTTACTTTTGGTCACCATAATTTATTTTACCCTTAGCTAACCCTTGTGAATTTCTCACCAAACAACCAAACAAAGAACAACTCTATCATATTTTCATACATTCTTCTTCTTGGATACCAATCAAAGGATTAACTAAAATGATATACCTCAGATCTAACCATTCTACAACCCCCTTCTTGAAATTTTTGTCTCATTTTCCAATAGTTACTAAACTTAATTCCTCGAAACCTGCTCCAAAAACCTAACTCCCAATAAATTCAACTATCAGGAGAAAGATTTCTATTTCTCAAAAAAGGGAGAAAGATATCTAATCATTCCCCAAATTTAACTCCCTAGATTTTTTCCTTTGTGATTGTGTCATCCTATGAAATATGTAAACCTCATTTTGTTTTTTCACAACATGCAACAATATAAAAGCAAAGTCCATCGAGAAGAAACGGAGGCAACATTGAGCATAGACCAAGCACCCAACATTGCAGCTCTCACTTCTTGGATACATCGAGGATCAGGGGTAGCGTCAGAAATGGGTCGGGCCCCGGGCCAGCCTCAGTCCAAACATCATGAACAGTGTCAAGTACTCCCTCCGTCTGAAAAAACTTGTCTCTCAAATGGATGTATCTAGCATCAAGCTTGCTACTCAAATGGATGTATCTAGCATCAAGCTTGCTACGCAAATGGATGTATCTAACGTCAAGTTAGTGTTAGATACATCCGTTTAAGGGCAAACTTTTTTGGACGAAGGAAGTAGTCGGAAGTTGTGCTTCGTGTGGAGCCCGCCGACCCGGGGATGCCGCATGTTAAATCATCAGTGTGTGCATATGTGGAATAGATTTTTATGATATTATTTTGCCATGCCTTTCGATTGTGGTAAGATAAGAGCACGATATACGGACAATCACATTTGGCTCTCGGTGCATATACACCCTATATAAAAAAGAGTAGATACTATTAAAAGGTAATTTTTTAAATAGACTCACTTTCTGTTGTACTCATATTAAAAGTTTGGCCAAGAAATGACTTTCATGGCATCCTCCATGAAAAAAAATCAACACTATACAAGTTACTATTCACACCTATTGTCCTTGAATATTTGTTCTTTTTTGCCGTGAAGTCGACGGGAGTTTTTTCTTCACGAAACCTTTTATAGAGTACTTCCTCCGTACGAAAAGGCTTGTCCCTCAAATTAATGTATCTAATACCAAGTTAGTGCTAAATACATCCATTTCAGAGACAAACTTGGGACAAACTTTTTTAGACAGATGGAGTACAACAGAAGGTCAAGTTTATTTTTTTAAAATAGGAACCTTTTGACAGTTTTTAATCTATTTTTTCATATCACATGTATATACAAGCAAAGGGTATTTTCCCATCCAGCCTTTTTTCCACTGGTTCCTTGTATAGAGAAATCTTCAAATCCTTGACTCCTTGTGACTTATCTGGAATATGGAAGGCAGGGCTTCCGGCCAAAACAAAAATCTTTTTGTGGCAAGTGGCTCATAACAGAATCACAAGTGGGAACCAGGTACATAAAAGGAAGGGCCCGGGCGATGGCAAATGCATTTGGTGTGGTGAATGGGAAGATCGTGATCACATCCTTTTTTGATGCATCATGACCCAATTCGTGTGGAGCGTTGTACGATTGGTGACGGGCTCCTCATGGAATCCGAGTGGGTTCTCGGAGTTTTATTGATTGGTTTCATCCACCACCGAGAGGGATAGGCGGATTACATAGTTAGGTTTGGTGCAATTGCTTGGTCACTATGGACCACGAAAAAATAAAGCCTTGATAGAGGGACAGTTCATCAAGCATTCGGCTGATATACTATATAAATTGATGTCTTTCTTGCAGCTATGGAAGCTTCCGGCAAAGGCACAAGATAGAGGACGAGTGCAGGAACTCGTCTCAAGGGTGTGAGCAAGGTGCACCGAGATGCAACGGTCAACATAGGGGACATCACCGGCACGGTGCCGCCCCTTGCTACCTCGATAGCCTTTACTGTTTCGCCATAATATGGCTAGCGCTGCGCCACTATGTATCCGCCTACGGGTATGTATCGCTTCGTTCGTTCGTTTTATGTTGCTGCTTGCTGGACATGTTAGCGTTGTATAAGGGCCTTAGTCTAAAGCGCCTTTGTTCTTAAAAAAAGGTATTTTCTGTACTTACTCTGATAAAATCCGAATATTTTCATGTTGCAGCATACACTCACATTTCCACTTAAAAAAAGCATATACTCACATTTTTTTTCATTTTCATACGCAAAATGTAGAACCTCGAGGTAAGATAAGAGCACGTGCTTAGATAAAAGAGCGTTCCGGGGAGGTTGAGCGGGAGCGGGTAAATCGGACAAGACCAGCCTCTTTCTCCGCGTTCGTGCTAATGGCGCAGCGCGGCAATGGCCGCTTCCACGGTTCCACCACTCCTCCACCCGACGCCTCCCTTCCAGCCATTAGCACATGAGCTCCACCTCTCGCACCGCGCTCTCCCCGAGTCCCGATGTCACGGGCGCCTCCCGCGTTGGCGGCTCCGGCCAACTCTACGTTCTCCCACCTCTTCCAGTTCTGCGCCCGCGGCGGCCGCGCTGCCCTCGACGCCGGGCGCGCCGCGCACGCGCGCATGCTAGTGTCCGGGTTCCTCCCGACATCCTTCGTCTCGAACTGCCTCCTGCAGATGTACGCCCGCTGCGCGGACGCCTCGTACGCTCGCAGGGTGTTCGACGCGATGCCCCACAGGGACACCGTGTCGTGGAACACCATGCTCACCGCGTATTCGCACTCCGGGGACATAGCGACCGCTGTATCACTGTTCGATGCAATGCCGAATCCGGATGTCGTGTCATGGAACACGCTGGTCTCAAGCTATTGCCAGCATGGCATGCATAGCGAGTCGGTGGCCCTGTTTCTGGAGATGGCTCGCTCTGGTGTTGCCTCCGACCGGACAACGTTTGCTGTCCTTCTGAAGTCGTGCGGTGCTCTGGATGACTTGGCACTCGGTGTTCAAATCCACGCGCTGGCGGTGAAGGCAGGATTGGATATTGATGTCCGGACTGGGAGTGCTCTCGTGGACATGTATGGCAAGTGCAGCAGTTTGGATAACGCATTGTTCTTCTTTTATGGAATGCCCGAGAGGAACTGGGTCTCGTGGGGCGCAGCCCTTGCTGGGTGCGTTCACAATGAGCAGTACACTCGTGGGTTGGAGCTGTTCATGGAGATGCAGAGGTCAGGGATGGGGGTGAGCCAGCCGGCTTATGCCAGTGTCTTTAGATCTTGCGCAGCAAAATCATGTCTGAGCACTGGTAAGCAGTTACACGCACATGCCATAAAGCATAACTTCAATACTGACCGTATTGTTGGGACAGCTATTGTGGATGTTTATGCTAAGGCTAATAGCTTGGTGGATGCTAAAAGGGCATTCTTTGGGTTGCCCAGCCATACAGTACAAACATGCAATGCCATGATGGTTGGGCTTGTGCGCGCAGGGCTTGCAAATGAGGCCTTGGAACTGTTTCAGTTCATGACCAGGTCAGGCATTGGTTTTGATGCAGTCAGTTTATCGGGTGTCTTCAGTGCTTGTGCAGAGATTAAGGGGTATTTAAAAGGCCTACAAGTCCACTGCTTAGCAATGAAATCAGGTTTTGAGACGGACATCTGTGTCAGAAATGCAATTCTTGATCTGTATGGGAAGTGCAAAGCATTGGTAGAAGCGTACTTTATCTTCCAGGATATGGAGGAACGAGATTCAATCTCTTGGAATGCTATTGTTGCTGCTCTTGAGCAAAATGGGCGCTATGAGGACACCGTAGTTCATTTTAATGAGATGCTGCGCTTTGGTATGGAACCCGATGATTTCACATATGGTAGTGTCCTTAAGGCTTGTGCAACTTTACAATCTTTGGAGTTTGGATTGATGGTACATGACAAGGTTATCAAGTCAGGACTTGGTTCAGATGCTTTTGTAGCTAGCACTGTTGTTGACATGTACTGCAAATGTGGTATGATGACAGATGCTCAGAAACTCCATGACAGAATTGGGAAGCAAGAACTTGTTTCATGGAATGCCATCATGTCAGGATTTTCACTGAACAAACAGAGTGAGGATGCCCAGAAAATCTTCTCACAGATGTTAGATATTGGACTTAAGCCTGATCATTTCACCTATGCTACAGTTCTTGACACTTGTGCTAACCTAGCTACCATTGAGATCGGGAAGCAGATCCATGGTCAGATAATTAAGCAAGAAATGCTGGTAGATGAATATATATCCAGCACCCTTATAGACATGTACGCCAAGTGTGGGTACATGCAAGACTCACTGCTAATGTTTGAGAAGGCACAGAAACGGGATTTTGTGTCATGGAATGCTATGATATGCGGCTATGCGCTGCATGGTCAAGGAGCAGAAGCACTCAAGATGTTTGATAGGATGCAAAGGGAGGATGTGATTCCGAACCATGCAACTTTCATTGCTGTGCTCCGGGCTTGCAGCCATGTTGGTCTGCTGGATGATGGATGTTGTTACTTCCATCAGATGACCACCCGCTACAAACTGGAACCACAACTGGAGCACTTTGCTTGCATGGTAGATATACTAGGACGGTCAAAGGGACCACAGGAAGCTCTGAAGCTTATTGGCACCATGCCTTTTGAAGCGGATGCAGTCATCTGGAAGACTCTCCTAAGCGTTTGCAAGATCCATCGGGATGTTGAGGTGGCTGAACTTGCTGCCGGCAATGTTCTACTACTGGATCCTGAGGATTCTTCAGTTTATATTCTTCTGTCAAATGTATATGCAGAATCAGGGAAATGGGCTGATGTTTCTAGGACAAGAAGGTTAATGAAGCACGGAAGGCTTAAGAAGGAACCTGGCTGTAGCTGGATTGAGGTGCAAAATGAGATGCATGGATTCCTTGTAGGAGATAACGTCCATCCGAGATCGAGGGAGCTGTATGACATGCTGCATGATTTGATTGATGAGATGAAACTGTCTGGATATGACCCTGATTCATCTTCTTTTGCTGAGGTTGACGAAGAGGGCAGTGCATCCGAGCAAGATGATTTACTTGGAATGGTTGGTGGCTAGTCAGTCCTGTATTGAGGTTCCAATCTACTATTTTATTACAAAGCTCTAAACTTAATCTCCCCTGCAGCTGAGACAGTGATACTGCAAAAGATGCTCAGGCAGAACTCTGAGGCTGTTTTCCCTGGCATGTCACTGTACCGTAAAATGGTTTTGTTGATCTCATGAGTGTATGAAATTCACCAACGTTGGAAGACAAACTGGTGCACATATTTTGCTATATATATGACAGACTTGGCAATTGTGATTGTTTCCGCCATTTATGCTGGTACAGGCTTGTATAAAGGCACTTGACCAAATGCAGCAGAAGAGTAAGTGCAAATGCAGCCCTGTTTTCCTTTCTGCACAATTATAATTTGCTGCTGCTGATGCCATGTTTCAGCTTTCTGATTAGGTTGAGCGAGGTTATTTGTCATACAGTTTCTCTAAAGCAGAATCCGAGGATAGTATTTGACATGCTTGTGCACCAGACGCTTTGACAAGAAGCTTGGGATTATAACAAGGGAAGTCAAACTTTCCAGAAGATGCAAAGGTCTTGCAAGCATTGTCCAGTGCTAAATGTACTGAAGAGAGGTAATTTTATCCGGTTTAGTGCGTCTGTATTTCCTATCATTGCTGAGTGTTCATACAAATTGAAGTACTACATTGGTTACTAAAACGAGTTTGGTTCTTGCTGTTCAGTATGGTATCATTGGTATTTCCGTTGTGTGGTAGTGCTGGACTGCCAGTAGCATATTATAGTGAACTCTTGCCGCAACCCTTCTGTCATATCCCAAATTTCATATTATATCATAGCTCATAGGTATTTCCATAGTAGTCTCCAAATTTCATATTATATTTGTTACATTCTAGCTTTCTAGGTACTCTTAGCACAAGATGTGCATGTTTACTCCAAAAGTAGACGTGTAAAACATGAAGTTACCAAAACCTTCATGGAGATGTCCCACCTTCCTGAGAGTTGTTTTACCATGAATGCTCTAATTGGGAATTTGCAGAAGTTACACGAGAAAAATATGACTAAATGAGTTGACACTCACAGTACCAATATAGAGTTTCATGGAGCGTAGAAGTTTCATCAATCTAAATGAAGTTAAACAGAGTAGCTTACATTCATATATTGGTTGTCAGATACATGCAAGCCCGCACCATGAAAACCAATCTGTTTGGCAGTTTGTAAAAGAAACTGAATAATAAGAATCCTATATACCTAAGAGATTCATCCCGACTATCCTATTTATCTCGACATGCAGCCTATGCACATCAGCAATCCGCCACGTCAGCATATCTTAATGTGCAGCGTTCCATTTGTATAAAGTAAAAGTGATTGCAAGAACTAATTGATTCTTATTGGTTCCAAACTATTTATACAAGGCAGTTACAATATTGTGAGAGGAAATCTAACCGCAAGAAGCGGTTGCTAGTGTGAGATAAAATGGCAACTGCAATTAGCGCAGTTGCTAATATGTGAGAGAGATTACAACTGCTAATGGCAGTTAAGGATTACTATGTCAGTTCCTAATCAACACCTGTTAATTAGTAATTTAGCACGTGATCTAGCCCTATTCCTAACACCCCCCTTGGATCGCACATCTTCTAGAAGTATCCATCATCTAGAGCTTGTTGTATATTTCATCATATAGAGCTTCTTGTATATTTTTCATCTAGCTTGAGAATCATTTGTACAATTTTAGAATGCCCCCCAAAAGCCCCGTGGGAAAAATATGAGTAATAGATACACCATTGAAAACTCCTTTAAAACCCAATGGGAAAAACATAAGGAGAAAACGATATGGTATAGTTTATATTGCCTCATTGAAAACCTTTTATGAGAAACCTGATGGAAAAACTCATAAAGGAAAAGAGCACAATATTTATTATCTGATGATAATTAATGGGTTATAGTTCTATGAGTTTTCTCCCCCTGAAATTTGCAAATCTTGAAAACGTCTCATACCAATTTCGTGAATACACTTCTGGAATGTTGAATTTCGTAAAGACTTTGTGAACAAATCTGCTAGATTGTCACATGATTTGGTTTGCAAAATATCAATTTCTCCATCTTTCTGTAATTCATGAGGAAAGAACACCTTGGGAGAAATGTGTTTTGTGATATTACTATTTATATAACCCATTTGCATTTGAGCAATGCAAGCTGCATTGTCTTCATAGATAATAGTTGGTGATCCTAATGAACCAACACCACATGAAGTTTGAATGTGGTTAATCATCCTGTGAAGCCATACACATTCTCATGATGCTTCAAATAATGCGATAATTTCAGAATGATTAGTGGAAGTTGCTACGAGAGTGTTTTGTTGACTTCCATGAAAAAGCAGTTCCACCATGTAAGAATACGAAACCTGTCTGTGACTTGACGTTGTGAGGATTAGATAGATAACCAGTGTCTGTATAACCTACCATAGTCATATCTTGGTTCTTCTGATAGAATAAGCCAAGATCTTTTGTGCCATGTAAATATCTAAGGATATTTTTCACCCCTGTCCAATGATGTTTTGTTGGAGCAGCACTATGTCTAGCTAGTAAATTTACCGCAAATGCAGTATCAGGCCTGGTGCAATTTGCAAGGTACATTAGCGCACAAGTGGTACTGAGATACGGGAACTCAGGTCCTAATATCTCTTCGTCATCATCCCGGGGTCTAAAAGGATCTTTATTCATATCAAGGGATCTGACAACCATGGGTGTTTTGGATGGATATGATTTATCCATATTGAATTTTCCAAAGCCTTTTGAGTATAAGCATGTTGGTGTACTAATATTCCTGAGGGAAGGTGCTCAAGCTGTAAGCCTAAGCAGAATCTGGTCTTTCCCAAATCCTTCATCTCAAATTCCGTCATTAGATGATTGCGTTCTTTGTCTATATCAGGTGTACTTCCAATGATATTAAGGTCATCAATGTACACAGAGATGGTACAAAATCCATGTGAGGACTTCTTTATAAATACACAAGGGCAATCATCATTATTTGAGTAACCTTTATGAATAAGGAACTCACTCAATCGGTTATACCACATTCTACCCATATAAGTACGCAGTCATTACGTCCATTAACTGCATAGAGAAATTCATTTGTACTGCCAAAGGTATTAAGTATCAAACGTTATTCCACTCATGACAGGAGAGTATGTATCATTGTCATCAATTTCGGGTCTCTGCGTGAACCCTTGTGCTACAAGTCTCGCTTTGTATCTCACCACCTCATTGTTTCCATTCCTTTTTTCGAACAAAAACCTATTTTGCTTCCACGGGGAAGACATTCTGAGGAGTAGGTATTACTGAGGAAAATACTTTTCTTTGTTGAGCAAGTGCAGTTCTGCCTCAATTGCTTCCTTCCATTTAGGCCAATCAGGGCGCTTGAGGCATTCCTTTACGGACTTTGGTTCTGGATCCAGTTGAAGGGTTTCAGCAATTTTAGAGGCGAAGTATATGTCGACAATTGTAGTCTCTCTGTTGTATGATTCTCATGAGTGTATATAGTTTCTGGAAATTTCCTTTATACCTTCAGACTCTATGTGATTTCCCACAACAATAGAGTCATGGTGTTCCGATGTCCCAACAGTTATGTTTTTGGGGTTTTATCATTTATACCTTCAGACTCTATGCGCATTTGTGCTAGGTTCTAGATGTTGAGCATCTAGTTGGTGTTCTTCGACTTGGGGTTGAATTGCATTTACTGGTAGAGGATTTGATTTCCTATGTTTTCGCGGAGGCTTTTGAGAAGCTATATTCCGGTTAACCAGATTTCTCCCCCTCTTACTCTCATTTGGGGTTTGAGTGGTTTTACTTGGTAGCTCCACTCGTTCTGGTGCATTAACAGCGGGAATATGTGATTTAGTGTCACCTTTATGGCCAGTAAATGCATCTGGCAGGTTATTTGCAATGTGTTGCAAATCTATAATCCTCTGAACTTCAGTTTCAGATTCTTTAGTATGTGGATCTAAGGACTGAATGCCTGTTACATTCCTGACATTCTTTGTGCTTTGATTCTCCCCCTAATGCCGGGAAATTATCCTCATCAAAAATAGAATCAGCGTAACGGGCAGTAAACAGGTCCTGTAAGAGGCTCAAGATATTTTTATAATCAACGGAAAATTATAACCCACATAGATCCCTAGTATTCTGTGAAGGGCCCATGGATGTGCACTGCGGTGGTGATATCGGTACGTATGCTGCGCAACTGAATTTTTGCAGATGGGAAAAATTGGCTGAGTACCATGTACTGGTTGTAGTGGGGAGGTTGTGTGATATGCAGTTGGGCCGATTTGTATCTGATTTGTGGCGTGCAACACCGCATGTGCCCAACAAGATGTTGATAAATTACAATTCCGTAATAGTGGTCGAGCAATTAATTTTACTCTTTTGATGAGAGATTTAGCCAATCCATTTTGAGTATGAGCATAAGGCACATAATGCTCTAAATGAATGCCCATAGTCGTGCAATAGTCATTGAGTGCACGTGAAGAAAATTCAGCGGCATTATCCATTCGAATTGTTTTTATCCTATTTTCAGGATGATTTGCTCTAATTTAACAATTGAGCAATTAACTTGGCAAAGGCATGATTTTGTGTGGATAATAGACACACATGTGACCATTAGTAGATGCATCTATGACTACCATGAAATACCTAAAAGGTCCTGATAGTATATATCTCCTTCAATGCGTTCAAGGAAATTAAGTGACTCATTTTTTACTTTAAGATAAGATGGTTTTATAATTATTTTTTCAGTTGTACATGCGGTGCACACAAAATCTGATGATTTTGGGAATCTTTTAGTTGGAAGGCTGTGACCAATAGAATTGTCAATAATTTTTCTCATCATCCCTATGCCAGGATGACCAAGGAGATCATGCCAAGTCTTGAATTTATCAAGGTCTTTTTTGAGGAAACACAGAAGACTTTTGCGTTTCATTGTATTGAAAAGGAAGAGAGTTTGTTACAACCTCCTAAGAGGTAGGGTTACAGGCAAAATGAGAGATAAA